TGTTGATTAATTTCCAGCCCCATTTGATGGAATGGATGTTGTGTTGATTTTAATTCTGTAATTTTAAATGTTTTAAATGCTTTTACTTGTGAGCCGCCCAGAGTCGCTAGGGAGTGGACGGCATACAAATTCTATTAAAGTTTAAAGTCTGGGTCGGTCACTGGGACCAGGGGTTTAGTCTTCCAAGCTTTCGGATTTGTGCTGGAGCCCATTGTTGGGGCACTTCTTTCTCACCAGAATGTGAGAGAGAATAAAATAAATGAGTTTTGTGGTAGAATACAGATCTGAAGCTAGGTTTCGCTGCTCAAAGACCAAGCTAAATCACTACCAATAATGTTTTCTATATGACTGCTTAAAAGGTGGGGAAAAAGACTGGCATGGATGTTAAAGCTTTTCTACAATGTTCTTGCCATCTGTTTTGACTCTGAGCTAAATTTCTGCAATAGGAAAGAGAAAGTGAGGCCTTCATCAAAAGAAAGCAATGTGCCCATGGATATGACTGTGGAAGATTCAGAACAATTACATGTTGAGGCCATGGAAATAGGTCCAGATGAGCATATAATGGAAAGTGACTTTCAGTCTGAGACGGAGTCTACTGTCGACTCTCCAGCAGGTGGAAAATGGCTCTATAAATCAAGGTTGGTGGCTTTGCTTTTTTCAGATGGCTTGGAACCATCTTTTGGTATGAACATCCACCTGACTGCACGGAAACAACTATCTCTTCAAGAATTAGAATATTTTTGGTCACTGGAGACAAGGTAGTATTTATTGGGATTTTTTTTTTTTTGCCTAATGAATATTTTTCAGCAAACTAATATCAGATTTCTGGAGTTCCTGTCCAATCTCATCTAATCTCATCATTGGAAATTAGCAAAAATCTGATAACCAGCAAATCTGGATTTAATTGGTAAAATTTAATAATTTGAAAACTTCACAATGTCAGAAATGTTTAAGAGATGTTAAATATGCTCAGGTCAGAAATAGTTAAAGAATTACCGTATTTTTTGGAGTATATGACGTACTGGAGTACAAAACGCACCAAGGTTTTGAAGAGGCAAATAAAAAAAAAACATTTTTGCACTCTGCAAACCTCCTAAAAATGGCCCGTTTTTCGAGAAAACTGGGTTTCCCCCCCAAAAAAGGCATGAATAGCCTTTAGGAGGCTTTCAGAGTGCTCCTGGGGGTGCCCCCCCCAAAATGGGCTTGTTTTTTGTCAAAAGATTTGCATGCATAGTCTTTAGGAGGCTTATAGAACACTCCTGGGGGCTGGGGGGGGGCAAAATTGAGCAAAATATGGCCTGTTTTTCACTCATTTCTGCCCTACCCAGCCCCCAGGAGCTCTCTGAAAGCCTTCTACAGGCTCTGCATGGCCATTTTGGTGAAGGGGGCAGGGCTTCGGGAGGCAAAAAATGCTGTATTC